CGGGCTGGGGGTCCAACCTCAGCAGTACCCCCATGAAGCCCCATGGTGGGTGTATGGCCTGACACAGGTCCTTTGCCCACAGCCCCCTTGCCCTTCAGCGCTGAGGGGCTCCTCTTCTTCTGGCTCTTTTTCGGCACCGGCGAGGGGGAACGGTGCTGGGCGGAGCCCGGTGCTGGTGATGCGCTTCGCACCGAAGCCAAAGTACTTGGCGTGGGTTCTGCTGCGGAGGGCTTTGACGCAGGGCGAAGCGCAGCCTCCATGAGGAGGGCCCTCAAGTGGATATCCCTCTCCTTTTGTGTACGAGGACGATGCAAGACTTGTCCTTTCTATGGGCTTCCCCCAAACACTTCAGGCAGCTGTTGTGGGGGTCACTAATTGCATCAGCCTGCTGCATGATGCACATGGCTTGAAGCCAGGAGAGCGGGGCATGCCCTGTTCAGGGACAAAGTCCCAGACGGGACTCTACGTACTCTACTTAACACTACCAAGCTAACTAATTACTAGTAACTATGCGCAGATTAGGCAGAACAAAAGTCTATGAAGAACCGCTATCGCTCTCACGAAGTGCAAGACGAGGCGCTCCGGCTAACCACCACAGGTGGTAAGAAGGAACTGAGAGGGCTTGGGGTCGGCGGCGCCTGATATACCGGCGCATGAGTGCAGCACTCAAGGGGACGCCATATGACCCTATGGATACCGCTAAGGCAAAAGTCTCTGACAACTGTGCATGTGGGCACGCGCACGCCTAGACTGGCAACGACATGAGCAAGCACTCAACGAAGAAAAGAGTCATACCAAAAGTGGAAACTAGGCCAGATTACAAAGGATGAATATAAATTTACACAAGTATATACAGGCAAAATTAGAAAGGCCAAGGAACAAAATGAGATTAAATGAGCTAGAGGCATGCCGGGTAAAAAGAAAACATTCTACAAATACATTAGAAGTAAGAGGAAGATCAAGGACAGCACAGGCCAGAGGTTCTCACAACGCATTTTTTGGTGGCCTTAGAGTACGGCCACCAACTCTTGCTGGTAGCTGCTCTGACAATTTTTCCTAAAATACTTAATTAACTTTAGGAAAAACAAATAAATCTGCATGTATACACATGGTCGGCGCCAGAGCCAGAGATCACAGCCCACTGCCGCATGGCCAGAGGTTGGAGTCTGAAGCCCCATGGCTGGAGCCTTAGTCTGCAGCCAGGCTCTCTAAGTCCCCGCTGCCCAACCACCCCAGAGCTGAAGTCTGAGCCCCACTAAGCCCCTTGATGCCCCCCGCAGATAGAGAACTCACCTTGCTCCTTCAGCGTTGTGCCCCACCTGTCTCCGGAGACATGTTTTGCCGCCCCCGCTCCCATCACTGCCCAGAAAGCAGTCGTGGCCACAGGGAAAACCCCTGGTGGCCGCATTTGAGAAACGGTGGCATGGGCCCATTACTCAATGCGGGGTGGAAAACAATAACAGAAAATGTGAAAATGGCAGACGTGCTAAATGACTTTTTTGTTTTGGTTTTCACCAAAAAGATTAGTAGCAATTGGACGTCTAACATAGTGAATGCCAGTGAAAATGAGGCAGGGGTCAGGAACCTTCGGCACGTGGCCCATCAGGGTAATCCGCTAGCGGGCCACGAAACATTTTGCTGATGTTGACTGTCTGCAGGCATGTCCCCCCACCCCCCACCGCCCCTGCAGCTCCCAATGGCCTCTGTTCGCGGTTCCTGGCCAATGGGAGCTGCGGGAAGTGGTGGCCAGAACATCCCTGCTGCCCACCACTTCCCGCAGCTCCCAATGGCCAGGAACGGCGAACCGCAGCCACTGGGAGATGCTGGGGGCCGTACCAGCAAACGGTAAACATCAACAAAATGTCTTGCAGCCCACCAGCGGATTACCCTGATGGGCCGTGTGCAGAAGGTTGCCGACCCCTGGCATAGAGAGCACACACATAAAGTTTGCGGATGATACCAGGCTGGGAGGGGTTGCAAGTGCTTTGGAGGATTGGATTATAATTCAAAATGATCTGGGCAAACTGGAGAAATGGTCTGAAGTCAACAGGATGAAATTCAATAAGGACAAATGCAAAGTACTCCACTTAGGAAGGAACAATCAGTTGCACACATACAAAATGGGAAATGACTGCCTAGGAAGGGATCTGGAGGTTATAGTGGATCACAAGCTAAATATGAGTCAACAGTGTAACGCTGTTGCAAAAAATAAGCGAACGTCATTCTGGGATGTATTAGCAGGAGTGTTGTAAGCAAGACACGAGAATTCTTCCGGCTCTACTCTGTGCTGATTAGGCCTCAACTGGAGTATTGTGTCCAGTTCTGAGCGCCACATTTCAATAAAGATGTGAAGAAAGTCCAGAGAAGAGCAACAAAATGATTAAAGGTCTGAAAAACCTGGTCTGTGAGGGAACATTGAAAGAAGTGGGTTTGATTGGTCTGGAGAAGAGAAGACTGAGAGGGGACGTGATGACAATTTTCAAGTACATAAAAGGTCGTTACAAGGAGGAGGGAGGTAAATTGTTCTCCTTAATCTCCAAGGACAGGACAAGAATTTAACACGAGGTTGCCATAGCAACAGCAGGCAGGGGGGCGAGCCCAGTCATTAAACCAACCCCCCCCCCGAGGTTTATGGCCAAATGGTTCCATTGCCCTAGGTACAGCCGCTCGGGGCGGTGGATTGCCTGAGGCGACGGGGAACCCCGACCGTCACTGGACGACACGGCAAAGCTCCAGCACCATTGCTGGGCCGCTGCAGTGTAGACAGGGTCTCGGTGCCTGCCAGGGCTGCTCCCTGCACATGGGAGGCGGCTGATGGGGCCAGTCTGCTGGAGCTCATGGCTCCCCTTGCTGCGCCAGCCGCACAGCAGCACGGGCAACGCCATTGGGACAGGGCCCAGAGACAACGCGTGGCTGGTGCTGGAGGGCTGCTGAGGTCAGAGCACTGCCTGGCCAGCAACGAGCCAGGGTGGGTGCCCTGAGCACCTGGGAAGTCTGGGCCCTGCTCAGCAAAGCCTGGCTATGACAGCTGGAAGGCCCGGGCAGGGCTGGGGTTATAGGCTGGGCGAGGGGCGGGTGACAGCACTGGGGGGAAATGGCCTCTTCCCTTCGCTGGTTCCCACTGATCAATGCCCTGGAGCAGGCAGGTCCACCAGGCGGGGTACCGGGCCCATGCTTGGCTTGGTCGCTGGTCAGGAGCCGTGGAGGTCAGCCTGCAGTTGGCAGCGCACGAGCCAGTCAGGCCTGGTCCCTCCCCCAGTAGTAGCTGGATCACTTTGTTGTCCCAGGGCAGCAGTGTCATAATGGTCATTGGCAGCAAATCAACTCCCGGCTAAAAGACTGTTGTACTGGGGGGGGGCAAGAAAAATGGGGCCCGGTTGGGGGGCCACTCCCCAGGACCTCCCTCCGGGGAAACAAGGACCCAGGCAGTGCCTCCCCTCCCCACAGCCACACAGAGAGGAGCCAGCCAGGGACTCCAGAGCAGGGCCCAGCAGTCATAGCCGTGACTGGACTTTCTCTGCCCTGCGCTGATGGATTGTTTGGGCTGACCCTTCCCTCCCCGTCGCTCCACACCAACCCCTCTCCTCCCCATCCTGTCCCTCTCACCCCTTTGCCTTCTGCTCGTCCCGCCTAACAACGCCCCGTCCCACAAGACATGGCACTGCCATGCCATGGGTCACTCTGCTGGTATGCTCAACCCCTTCCACACCCGCGCTGTGGCAGGCTGGGCTGTTTAGCTTGTCAGCTCTTCGGGGCAGAGACCGTCTGCGATCTGTGTTTGTGCAGCGCCGAGCACAATGGGGCCCATTTCGGCTGGCCCTTAGGCACCCCTGGCATACACAGGATTGATCAGGAAAGGAGCGAGGGCCCTGTAAAGTGAACTGGTACTGCCCAGAACACAGGCACTATGTAAAGCTGAACATGACTGGAAGGTAAAATTGGGTGTCACTGAATTAAATCAGACGCCAGTTTAACAGCATGGTCAATGCAAGAGGCCCAGACAGGAGAGGGATTGCAACAGAGCCCGTCTGTAAAGCTGGATCATTTGTAATAGATTTATAGGGGTTAAGGCCAGAAGGGACCATTAGATCATCCAATCTGGCCTCCTGCACAGCACAAGCTAGTGAATTCCACCAAGCGATTCCTGCCTTGAGCCCAGACCTTCTGGCAGAGCTATTAGACAGAGACGTGTCCAATTCAATTGAATTAAAGACTCAAAGCAATGGAGTGATCTGTAGAGGTCTCAGTTTTAATAAAACCATCAGAGGCAAGGAATATAATGGACCAGCCCAGATCAAAGGAAAACTGCAGTTAAAAATCGAACTTTCAAACACAAACGCTCTTTGCGGTGCTCAGAGTAATCCTTCCGAACAGCAGAGCGAGGCTTCAAACCAGCCGCATTTACTCACTGCTGGTTCACATTTGGTTTTTCACTGGATAATGAAAACACTCTAATCCCCTTGGGTGACTGGTCGTTTCCACTTCCTGGGTCTCAGGTCCTGGCCCTGTGCTGCAATATTCGGGTTACAAACACTGCAGGGGAGTAGTTTGGTTTTTTAAAAAAATCATGGAAACGACCCTACTGCTCCTGGGGGTTGGAAGGAAAAACTTGTCTTTTACAAGAGCTAACTCTGGAACCAGGTTAGGCCCTTTAGGCCATGCCCAAGCAGTGGTCGATTGGTCCATTTAGGCCACGCCCAAGCAGAAGTGGATTGGAATCAGCCTGCAGTGTGAACTAATTTTTCACACCTATGGAAAAGATGCTGAGTCTTATGGAACAAGATTTTTTGCTGACTTTTCTTTGGGTGGAAACACGAGTGGGTCCTTCCTGGAGGAACTTCACGCTTGAGGAAACTCAGCCCTGCTGGCTTTGGAGCCATTGTTTGGGCAAAGAGAGCAGGCTCGCCTGGGTTTGTGGGCCCAGTTCATATTACAGTGGCCAGCTGTTTAAAGAAACAACTCATGAAGAAAAGGCAGGTACAAGAAATTATATTCTCCTTTTATTTACACTATAACCATGACCTCAACATGTTTTTGTTAGCTGCAGAGATGCTTTGCATTGTAAACCGGGCACTTAGACGCAAGACATTCTGTCCAACTCCGTCAGATCCGGCACTAAGCCACATTTCCCAGACCACGACATCGTTATCTAGAGCAGTGAGAGTGTCTGATTCACACAGCTGTTTATCTACACAATCAAACCCTCCGTTGTCACGGAACTATATATACACCCAGGCTCTCCCAGCGGCCTGCTGCTAGGAGCACAGAGTTTGTCAAATAAAACCCACCGAGTTCGAAAACATTGTACACACTCTTAGAAGAGATGGTCGTCCATTCCACTGCGGGACTCCAAGACACGCAGAAATATTGCACTTGTAAATTAACAAAGGAAAGGATGCAAGGAGTTCCTATTACACAGCAACGCGTCCAGCTACAGGAGGTCAATAAATAAACCGAGAGGGATGTGGTGGGCATGGGGGAGAAACTGGCTCTTGCTGCTCGAGGGGTGCATGGTCACAGACAGACAAAGGAAGTGCCGTTCTGGCCCGTGATCAGGGCCAAGTGCGAGTTCTGCAGGGCCAAGGGAGCACAGCAACGCCACGGAAAGGGGTTTGGTCCAGTTCAGTGTCTCTTGTTGAGGCAAGAAGCCAGTTCTTGCTGGTTTCCCCTCACCCCAAAGCCTCACTGCCCAGCGACTTATTGCCCCCCAAAACAAAAGACAAAGCTCAGGCCCGTGCTTCACAGTAGTCTCGTGGGAGCTCCCCCCGAGCCATGACAAAGGGCGTCGTACCGGTGAGATGGCGAGATCCTGAGGAACGGTACAATGGAACAGTACCAGACTGCTCGGCTCTCCAGCCCCCTTGGCCTCTAGCTCGCTGCCTTTGCCTGTCCATGCGTCCGTTCGCTACAGAGCTATGGCTTCCATGGGTGTGAATCTCAGCAGAAAGGCAGGCTGCTCAGGGGAGACCGCCCCAGTCAAATTCATGTAAACATACAGCTCCCAGTCTGCCCCAGACAGAGTCCTTGGGATCTACAGTGGGGGGCTGGATTTCTTCTGGTTAATTATGTCTAAATACAACTCCGAGCGGAGGAAGCGGGGGTAAGAATCCTTCTCCATGAGCCCATAGATCCGTTTCTGAGCGAGGTCGAAGCAGCTCCGGGTAATGGTCTGCAGGTTCTCTTTGGTGTGCTCCCGTGTGTAGGAGTCCAGGTTCACCTGCAGAGGGACAAGGGACAGTCCCCGTCAGCTACGTCCCCATCTAGCCATGCACAGCAGACACCTGGCTCTCAATGGGGAGCCTTTCCAGCCTGGCCTATGCATCACTCAAGCTCCGTTCCAAAGGGCACCATCACCCACTTGGGAAGGGCTTCGGCAGGGGAGACCAGGCACAAACCAGGCATTGGATCTCTCCGAAATGGGAGCCATGGAGGGATCATTTAATGGGTGTCATTAGGGCACCTCCCGGCCACCAGCAGCACTTTACAGGGTGACAAGGTGCGGCTAATGGGCCAGGCCCCCCCAGAGCTGACTCAGCAACACTGACATCAGGCCATGAATGTTTTTGGATGCTACCCTCTAGCCGGTGTGGGCGTCTATTGGCAAAGTGAGGCTCCCTGGAATTCAAGCCCACCCTAAAGAAGCCAGCCTCAAACTGTACAAATGCCCATTTCCTACCCCCAGGGCCTCACGCCTGCCAAGGGGCACTGGCCATTATCTCCAGAGCAGGCACCGACTGGTGCCTCTCCGTCCCCCAGCACACAGTCCCCCCCGACTGCATGGTCTCCTGTGCTCTCTGCCCTTCTGACAGCTGGCATCATGGGCCCCCCATGCACCAGGACCCCGAGCAACATCTGTGCTGTGCAGAATAGAGAGCTGGGAACCGCCCCTCCCCAGGTGCAGCAGGCTGTGCGGCATGCCCCGTTACCTCTTTGCATGACTGGATGGCAATGTACTCAGCAAAGATCTTCTTGGCCTTGGATACCATCTTGGACTGGGATTTGATCTTCTTGTACTCCTCACACGCAAGCCAGAACTCCAGGTTCTCCTCGCTGAACTCTGTCCGCAGGAAAGCCCGGAAGGCAGCCAGCCCATCTGTGGGGAGCAGAGACACGGCTCTACTGCCAGGCCCCAGCAGCCAGCCTCTGCCAGGCACCCTCAGAAAGCACAGCCCCTCTGGGATCCCACTGACACCCCCTCCTGGCAAACTCTTCCCTTTGCCCGGAGGGAAACAGATGCCTGGGGAGACATCCTCCATTCCAGTTCCTCCACCTGATGTCTACACTCTGAGCTAGAAATGCTACCGCAGCCAGAGAGCTGGGGGAAGGGCTGGGAGTCAGTTGTAATGTCTCCTGCCCCCCCAAAGTCCTGCCGGGGACAGGAGGGCTGCGGCTGCAGCTGCTCTGATGTGAGAAGCACACCGAGTGTCCCTGCATGGTGCCCTCACTAGTGCACTGAGGCAAGCGCCTCATCTCAGTGTGGAGAACCGCAGACGGGTCTGGGCATCGGCCTGATCCACTCCATGTCAACAGGGAGCTGGGCCACGCTGAATGGCCAGCTCTCAGCCAGGTATCACAGCAACAAGTATCTCCTCTGAGCCCAGAGGGGGGGGGCCTCTTTCCATCAGACAGTGCCTTCAGCTGGGAGGGCCCACCCCAGCACTGCGGGGCGGTGCAGTGTGGTGCAGTGTCTGTAGGTGTATGTATGTGGAAATGCAGCCACCTCTGGGGTGGAACGCAGGGACCGTTCTGTGGCCATGACACCATTTTGGGACAGGAAATGGCAGAAGTTTGCATTCCTAGAGCACCTTCCATCCAAGCTTCTCAAAGTGCTGTTCACACCTTACTGACCTCCCCTCCCAACTCCGACAGGAGATGGAGAGATATCCCGTTCCGGAGGGGAACCTGAGACACAGAGTGGAGGGGGACAGAGCTGGGTAGATCACAGGACCCACAGACCCTGTCACTCCCAAACCATCCAGTAACACCCGTCTCCCCCAGCCTAGCTTCTGCACTGGGACACAGTCCGACCGGCCCGGGAAGGGAGGAGGTGGAATTTCTAGCACTGCCATTTCTCCAAAGAGGAAGAATTAAGTAACTACTCGGCTCATTTGGCTGGAATTGGAGTGCTGTCCCTTGAGAACACGGTGTCCTCCAGGGCCTGGCCTGCTCCCCAGCCCCACAGGGACCAGAGGGAAGGGGAATGCCTCAGCCCCACGCGGAGCACTTGGCATGGGAGCCCCCAGAGGGAATCGCAATCTTGCTCTGCCAGCGGAGAGCTCAGGGCTGGCACGTCAGCCCCCGAACCCGGGGGGGGGCAGCAAACACTTACATTTGTGCAGCAGCAGTTTCTCGAGAGATTCCCCCCACTTGAGAGCTTCCTCCGGGGTCGGCCTGCAATGGAAGGGGCCATTCGTTGGCAAGGCAAAGTCGTGCTCTTGGCTCCTGGGCTGCCCGCGTTGGCTGAACAGCAGCAGCTGCACTGACCCCCAGACATCACCACCCTCTCCCCAGCATGCAGAGACTCAGCATCGGCACCCCCCAGCCAGGCAGTCGCTCTGAGCAGGGGAGAGCGAAGCAGCCTGTCTCCGCCCTGTCTCAGGCTCAGACAATGGGCTCTGGCGAGGTGCTCTGCCCGCCCAGGCTGGGGCAGGAGAGAATCAGACACAAGTAGTGCTCTGGTGGCTAGCTGGGTCCTCCTGTGTGTCTGAGCATGTGCTGGTGCCCCAGACTGGGCTCAGTTCCTGGTGTTAGCAACCGCTGGAACAGCTCCCAGTCCCTCTGCACTGAGCCCGGGATAGCAGGGGCCAGCCCTCCAGAGCCAGGGCTTTGAGCACAGACAGCATCTCCTGGGGAGCCCTGCCATGAGTGAGCGGGGCAGGAGAAGGAGTTGTTCTCCGAGGGGCTACCCAGGGGGTGCAGTGCAGGGGGCAGCTGTCCCTCCCGGCTCACAGATCCTGCATAATGCCCTAGCTGACGGGTGGGCAATAATCCATGCGGGGCAGCTGTGCCGGAGCTTTCAGCTGAGCCCGGTGCGTTTCGGAAGCTGCGTGGTAGCTCAGCCACAGGTCATGGGGCTTGGAGCAGGACGCACTGGGGGAGGTTCTCCGGCCTGTGTGAGGCAGGAGGTCAGACCGGAGGGTCAGACTTGTCCACTGGGGCCTTAACATCTAGACCTTTTGGCTAGCCAAGGCAGCCTGCCCCCTGCTGCCATGGGCGGGGGACAGCAGCTGGCACCCACTCAGAGCACAAACGTTTAAAATCCAGCCCTCTAGGTCAGGATATGGCCTGGGACTCGGGGCAGTGGGGCTGTTCCTGCCCTCCTGGCTGGGCGCTGGGTGTCCTGGGGACACCCGGTCAGTGCGGCTGCTCCCATGGCAACCGGTATTCTAACCCGCCTGTGGTGTGCAGGTGTCACAGTGCTGCGTGCAGGCACCCCCTCCCCTGCCCCCCCGCCCCCCTCACTCAGAGAGGGCCCAGCAGAGCAGCTCTGGCAGCCCGGCGCCTCCCACCACCAGTACCTACTTGAGGGATTTCATTGCTTTGTCCAGCTTGCTGATGGGGTTGGCTCCTGGAGACTCGTTTCGCCGTCGAAATATCCCCAGTCGGTTCTTCATGTCTTTGGCCCTAGAGAGAAGAGCAGGTTTTAGTGCCCAGGGTGGTGAGGGCTGGGGACAGGGACCCAGAGCAGCGGCCCCATGTTCTCACTCAAGGCCGTTGTTTCTGGAGCCTGCTGCCAGAGGGTGGCTGACTGCTCAAGAACTTAAGCAAGTTTAGGGCACAGTGCGAGAGCTTCCCGCACGGCCCGAAGCAGGAGAGACGGAGCAGCCGGGGGCCAGCCTAGCCAGGTGCAGCCCTCCCTTGCATGTCCCAGCGCACACCAACACCTACTCCTTCATGGTGTGCCGGCGCGGCAGGTTCCCGCTGCGTGGCCGGGGCATGCCCAGCAGCAAGTCCGAGTGGAATTCCAGGGGCTGGGGCTTGGAGAGGTCTCGGAGGAAGGGCATGGCTGCCAGTCAGCCCTGCCTCGGGCAGTGCCCCCGCTCCAGGCAGCGAGCCCAGGAGGGACCCTGAGCCTGGAGTGCAGCTCCCCGGCTGGCAGCAGGTCGGCGAGCGACCGGCCTGGCCAGAGGCTGCAGGAGCTCTGCGCTGTGCTCTCGCCCGGGGCCAGCGAGCCAGGAAGTGGGAGGGACCGGGCCGGAGGAGCGGGGAGCGCTCCGCGGAGCGACTGAGTCAGGGCGGTGTCAGCGCCAGCTGTGCACAGCCCGGCACAGGGGCTGCAGCTCTTCCTGACAACTCCGCAGCCGGTTGCTGTGGCAACCAAAGGAAGGTGGGAAAGGCAGCCCAGCGGCAGGACAGTGGGGCTTTGCAAGAGCGGGGAAAGGCAGGCAGGGATTTACGAGGAGCTATTTATAGAGTGCCGGCATCCTCAGGAATGCCGGGGCACCAGAGGGCTGGCAAAGCACAGGGCCCTCACCCAGAACAGGCAGAGACATGCAGATGTGGCGTTAGCCTCCAGCGAGAGCACCACAGGGCTTTGGGGCAGACAAGATCTGTGTGAAAGGGCCTGATCTTATAGACTCATAGACTTTGAGGTCAGAAGGGACCATTATGGTCATCTACTCTGACCTCCCGCATGATGCAGGCCACAAAAGCTGACCCCCCCACTCCTGGAATAATTCTCTCCCTTGACTCAGCTGCTGAAGTCCCCAAATCATGATTTAAAGACTTCAAGTCGCAGAGAATCCTCCAGCAAGCGACCCCTGCCCCATGCTGCGGAGGAAGGCGAAAAACCTCCAGGGCCTCTGCCAATCAACCCTGGAGGAAAATTCCTTCCCGACCCCAAATATGGCGATCAGCTGAACCCCGAGCATGCGGGCAAGATTCTCCAGCCAGACCCACATTGACCATTGTTACTAATTACCAGCGATGGCACGTTATTGACCTATTGACTAAAATCACGTTATCCCATCAAACCATCCCCTCCATAAACTTATCAAGCTTAATCTTAAAGCCAGAGAGGTCTTTCGCCCCCACTGTTCGCCCTTTTTGTTGCCTTTACTCAGACATTGACTTGCCTGAGTTACACAAGTCCTCAGGGCAGCAAGGGGCTTGGCTCACCGTGGTGCTGGGTAGATCACAGGGAGGGACATGGGGAGTCGGTGCAGAACTGCTGGACTTGACTAGGGAAAACAGCTAAACCTCCCAGCTGTTCATTCCATGTGCAATGTGATTTAGTTGGGGTTGGTCCTGCTCTGAGGTCTCTTCCAACTCTGAGATTCTCTGATTCTATGCAACCTCCCCACGGGAGAGAGACAGGGAAAGCCCCAGAGCTGGCAGGCCCGCTGCTGTGCATGGGCCACAGGGGTTTACATACACTCTGCCCTGAGAAGGCCAGAGAGGATTTCGGCAGCCATTTACACAAACCACTGATTGGTAGTTTCTAAACTAAGGCCAAGGCCGCCTTGAGTTGAACAGGCTTTAGCCAACTACTGCTGGGCTGTCCGGTTAAAGCTGACAGGCCCATGCAGCCATGCTGGGGAGGGCATGGAGTGGGAAGCGCTAGCCCAGGGTGTGGGGTGATCTCCAGGCCCAGCACCAGCACGGCCCGGTCATATGGCACACTGCGCGGCCCCGGGTGTGGGTCTGACTTGCAGGGTGGCTCAGGGAGGGGATTGTTGGGCCGAAGCAAAGGCCGTCTCTGCCAGCGGAGGAGATCCAGGCCCTTGTGATACTTTCCCCACCCATCTCTCTGCCACCTGCCTGCCCTCAGGACAAGGCACAAGGCAGGTCTTTGTCCCATGCAGATAACAAAAGGCAAGTAACCAAGCAGCTGGAGCCAGGGCTGTGTGTTCTGTCCAAGGGCTCTGCACAGCGCCCATCGGCACCGTATCTCCTGAGCTGTCCTAGACACACTCCCTCTTCCCAGAGTCTCCCAAGCCCTGACTATGGTGCAGGCGTCTAGCTGTGCAGATGGCAGCTTGGGGAGTCCCCAATAGGTCAGCGCAGGACAGTAGCCACTAAGCAGCAGCACATCTGCCCAGTCACTGCGGAGAGTGGCTAGGCAATGGAAGAGAGAATCCAATGCTCAGGGGACCATGGCGTAGAATGGCCTGGTGAGGACCTGGCACTACCCAATCCACAGGCTCTCCAGCCCAGGACAGGGGCTCGGAGAAGAGACTCTCCTGGAAAATGGGTCTCTTGTCTGAATGACAGGTGGCTTAGCGCTCAGCCCTACAGGGTGCTGCGCACTCGGGCCCCGATCAGCCAAACATGTACGTACATACTTGGCTTTAAGCGCCTGTGGTGTTCATTAACTTCAAAGTGCCTCGTCAGGCACCTAAAGTTAGGCACGTGTTTAAATACTTTGCAGGATTGAGGTTAGAGTGCTCAGCGCCTTGCTGAATGGAGCTCGCAGTGGTCAAGGCTGGGCAGTGATTCGGATGCTTGCCAAGTATCAGTCAGAAAGCAACGTGGGAAAACAGGGTCTAAACAAGGAATCTAGCCCTCAAATGCCATCTGTCTCCTATTACAGCACTCCCAGGAATGCTAATGCCTGAGTGCCGTTTTCCAAGAGAGCCACACAACCCTACACATCTCAAACCCACAATTGTAGCCATGTTCTTAACTTAGTAACTCAGTGGTTATTCCTCTGCAAAATCATCCCCTGCCGTTTGCATTGGCAGTGTACTTGAGAAGGTTACAAGCACTCTGGTATTTACAAGCACACATACAGAGAGCATGTGAACATAACCATGCACAAATACCTACATATCAGCATAGTGCAAATCTCTGGCTATAAACAGCTCGGTATCTCCTGCCTAAGACTAAGCAGTTCGAGACAGCTCCAGGTGACTTTTCTATCGAGCACATGCAAAGAAACGACACCTGATGAGATTCCACATTTACTAACTGCAAGAGACAACTGTCCTTTGTTTTCCTTGCACATAACTGCAAACACACAACAGAAACAGCCCTCACCATCACCAAGGCTGCATCAGCTGGAGAAATCCACAGAACTGAGCTGCCTGCTCCCCAGTGGATTATTTGCCTTATGGAACATAGCAGCAAAAGTGACAGCTTGTAAGAAAACTCTTTTCTCTTTGATTTTGGGGCTAGCAACTCTTTTCAAAACCACGAGGGCCTAGAAGCAGTCATGCCCCGGATATTCTGGTTTAGGACAGTCTCGCAAGTCTGAAAATGAAGTTCAACCATTCATGGAAGGAAAAGAGAGAGGGGCAGAGATTCTCATTGCCTGGGCATCTCTCAGCTCCTCACAGCAGCCCTACACCCTATCTCTCAGTGCCCGTGCAGTGCAGCCACCCACTGCATGCCAGCCTGCCTGGCACTGCTGCAATGCCACCTCCAGCACCCACACACACACAAAGACCACAGCAAACAGCATCACGTCAATTCCTCTGCCCTCATGGGCTCTGGGCCACCACCCACAACTGGGCGAGAAATCCTACCTTTCCAGGTACTTTTCTGAAAAGTCCACCATGGTGTGGTACATTGGGAGGCGTCTGTGGGCGAGCGATGGCTGGAGGTGTGCCCTGGGCTGGGGAAGAGAGCAGAGTGCCAGCTCTCAGCGGCAGGCACCAGAAATACTCCACATGGACTGACTGCAAATAAGCTGCTCAGCCAATAGCAGGGCAGCACAGCGCTGAGAGGCTCCACAGTGAATCTGCCGCTGTCCCCTGCTGTCCCAAGGTGAGGAACAGATCCACGGCTCTGCAGCTGCCCTTGAGACGCATCTAAAATGGGAAGCTTCACTAGTCTGAATCCTCGTCTTCCTTCCCAGCCGCACTCATCTGAGCTGGCCTCTCCCAGCCTGTGCAAAGCGATGGGGCAAGGTCCCGTTGCTCTGCCCGCAGAGCGGGGAGCATGAAAAGCGGATTGTGAAGAACTGGCTTTAAATTAAACTGTCAGGAGGAAATAATCAAAAATGCAAAAACCTGAACCCTTCCACTGCAGTGCCTGCTTCCCCACCCCACGTGGCAACATTGCCCCCCAGTGGCACTCTGATGTACTGCTACATTTAAACCACACCGCACAATAACATCTAGCCAAGTCCCCGTCGTGGAAGCCTGCAGGGGAGGAAGGAGTGTCCGGTGGCTGTTGACGCTTCCCTACTTCCGGGGGCCCTGCGAAGAGATGGGCACCCCTGGGATAAGAGCACTGCCCACTGAAGTGACCCCTTATGGCTGCGTCAGTCACCTGATGTACACACATCCTGTAACCAGGCAGATAACGTCCCCACCTGTGGCTGTTTACACGGTAGCTTTCCATCCACACCACACTTGGCACCTATTTTTATAGGACAATAATACCTTCCCCCTCACCCCCCAGGTTTCTGTGGCTGCCCCAAGTGATGGTTAAGGAGGACTGAGCCCATTTGCCAGGCCTGTTATAGTGTGCATCTGGTCACACCTTTGCTTTTCAAATGCAAGGCAGTTTTCCCAAAACAAACCTGTAACGGTGATGATCATAGGTGCATCCTAGGCTTCTTTTCCCACGGCACTGTCTGCACATGTAAGAACTAGAGCCGCAACCAATGTTTCTGTGCAAGGGTCCACACTCAGGGCACACTTGTGTGACATGTAACACTTACAACTCGGCTTGCAGCATGGCTGCAAACCTGAAAAGGTAGGTGTGTGGGTGGGGGGAGGGGGGCGGGTTTGGGTTTCAGGTCTAGACCAGCCTGGTTAGCTTCCCTCACTGGCCTCATTCTTCTGCATTCATTGCTGGGAGTCCTTAGCAGTTCTTACAGGCCTGGGTCCTCCCTGGGATATTAACAGCAGCAGCTGCAAGCTTCCTTGCTCCTCTCCCTGCATGGGGCCAGCAGGAAGGAGGCCCCAGCTCAAGTTTCACTCACTCTAAATGTCCTTTTTCTGACCTCCACTTCCCTGCAGCCCAGGGAATCCTGTGTTCCACGGGCCCCAGCAGCAAGAGGGCCTATGAGAAACCCATCCAGAAAGAAACGAGCCCCTAACATCTCCCATCCCTAGCTGTTTGCTACTGGCCCTGCACACTGCCTCCAGTATGCACTCCCATGCACTCCCTGGGGGAGGTCCAGTTTCCTTCAAGGATAGTCAGACTTTAGCTACGAATCTAAAGGGAGATCTTACTGCGTTCTGTCCCAACCACTCCCTTCCCACCGTGTTACTGAGGGCAAGGAAGCGATGGTCATACAGCTGCAGAGCTCTGTCCGGCCCACCAGTGACCCAGCCCGGACAGAACACAGCCTCGTTATTTCAAACACAGACAGATCACAGCGTAAGACCTGAGTGGCATCCTGGGGGCAGTGCAGCCACCCACGCAGCACAGGTGGGACAACGCTCTGACCCTGACCTTGCGTGCCACTTACAAGTTTTTGCTCCTTTTCTTGCAGGAGGCCTCGTCCCCATCCTCACAGCTGCACTCGTTGTCTGTTCCGCTGAGCTGCAGGGGGAAATACAAAAACACTGTCTACATCATGGTGCCAGTGTGTGCCCTGCGCCCCCGAGTGGCACCGTATGCCTCCTGCTCCCACTGGCAAGGCTTTTGGGGCCTGTGGTCCAGGGGCTGGAGGCTCCTCTAGCCAGGCAGGAGGAAGGAGCCTTTGCCAGCAGAGACGTTGTGAGCATGGGGAGGCGAGCATGAGTTCTGTGCAGATCCCTGGCCAGCCCCAAAGGCTGTTGAGCCAAGGGCCAACTCCTCGGACTGGGGCGCAGGTCAAACACACAGTGTAGGCTGCCTGGGGTAACGGCTGTCCCGGGGCAGCGGCTATCCCAGGCACAGTGAGAGGGTCCCCGCCAGCTCCAGCATCCTCCGGGGTGGTGCAAAGCACAGCGCGCAGCTCATCTGGTCACGCTCTCAGGGTCAGGCCCGGCCAGCTTCATCCCTACTCAGCGCCACAGGCCTCTCCACCATCCTGGGAAGGGGCTGCCCTTGAGCGAGGCTGGCTGGCAGGGAGCGCCCAGAGGGTGGAGGTGGTGCAGGGCTGGGGATACCAGCCCCTCTGCCCCCACTGATTGGTCTGGGGAGGGGCAACCATGCAGCAAAGAATGGCAGCAGCCCCTGCCAGCCACTAGAGGGACAACACATCAGAGAGTCCCCCACTCCCCCCTGCACCACCGGTCTCTGCCCCCTCATGCCCCAAGAGGCCTCCTGACACCCCCCACAACAGACCTCTGCCCCACCCCTGCACCATAACAGGCCTCCTGATACCCCCACCACAACAGACCTCTGCCCCACCCCCCCACCACAACAGGCCTCCTGACACCCCCCACAACAAGCCTCTGCCCCACCCCTGCACCACAACAGGCCTCCTGACACCGCCCACAACAGGCCTCTGCCCCACCCCCCCACCACAACAGGCCTCCTGATACCCCCACCACAACAAGCCTCTGCCCCACCCCTGCACCACAACAGGCCTCCTGACACCCCCCCACCACAACAGACCTCTGCCCCACCCCTGCACCACAACAGGCCTCCTGACACCCCACCCCCACCCCACAACAGACCTCTGCACCACAACAGTCCTCTGCCTAGGGTTACCATATTGCAGTCCTGGAAAAAGAGGACACTCCAAGGGGCCCTAGCCCCGCCCCAACTCCGCCCCTTCCCCAAACTCCCCGCCCCAACTCCACCCCTTCCCCTGAACACTCCGCCCCCTGCTCCTCCCCCTCCCCTGCTTCCCGCAAATCAAATGTTCGCGGGAAGCCTGAAACAGGCAGGCAGGCAGGCAGCAGGTAAGCTGGGGCGGCGGCAAGCTTTGCCTGCAGAGAAGTTGACTATGGGGGTTGCGGGGGGAGCTATGGTGCCAAGCACCCCCCTCACCAGGCCCTCCAGGCAGGGGGTGAGGTGATACCCCCACATGCCCCGGGCCAGGCCGAGCCCGGGTCTGTGTCCCTTTAAGAGCGGGGCTGGGCTGGGCTGAGCCGAGCCGGCGGAGGGTGGCTCCGCTCCCCACTGCAGGCTGATGCCGGAGCCTGGGCTGAGAGCCCCGCTTGTCTCCTGCTCCAGCTCCGGGCGGGGCCTTGCTGCGGCTCCCCCAGTCCCCCAGGGCCGGGCTGCCCCACGGTAGGAGCGGGTTGCTTGAGGCAGGGCAGGACCCGGTGGCGCCGAGGGCTAAACAGGCCCGGCAGGGCGGTGCGGGGGCTGCTGGGGGGGGAAGCTGGGGAAGGGGTGGCATGGCCTCAACCCCCTGGTGCTGCCTGCCCCGCGGAGGAGGCAGAGGGGCGCAAGCTGCGGCAGGACCCCAACCCCCCAGGGGAGGGGATCTGGGGCCAGCCTGGGGAGGCAGGAGCAGCCCCGGGGGTGCTGGACGCGTGCAGGGCAGATCTCAAGATCTCTCACGCACATCTCTCACGCACACCTCCCAGCACAGGAAGTTCACCGGGGGGCTGAGGTGAGAGGACTCAGAGATGGAACAGCCCCCCCTGCCCCGGCCCGAAGGGAAGGGCCAGGCCTCTGGCCCTGGGGCAGGCCCTGCCGCTGGAAGGAAGGTCAGGAGCAGGTGGAAGTGAGCGAATGACTCAGCAGGCACCGTCACTGCCAGTCCTTACCTACCTCCTGCACGGACCCGTTAGCGGGCCAGACCCGGCCGTGCTGCCAGCTCCCGGCGCTCTGCGGAGAGGCTGAGGTGGCTGCTGTGCCCCGAGGAGCCAGCACAGGGATTGTAGCGAGGTTCGGACGGCTGTGAGAAGGCAGCCGGGGAGGCCGGGGAGAAGCATGCTAGCTGGATGTTGCTGCTAAAATGATCAGCGGTGAAGCAGTTAATGCTGACATTTAAACAGTCACCATTAGGTCTGGTTAACTCCAATTGACACTATGGGGCAGGACACAGCTATCAGAACTGTGGTTACAGGCTGTCTGCAGATTCAGGGGTACGCTCGGGTCATGAAGCTGAGATTTTCGAACCCAGCTCTGCAGTAAGGGGTGAATTCACAGCCACTGAAACACAGCTCCTGGGAACAGCCAAGCACCTCCTGTGGGCTGGGTGGGGGCTCAGCCCTTCACCCCGTCTGTTGCTTTTCCACACCACACTGCTCTTTCACCAGGGACCACTGTCTCCTCCCCGCAAGAACCTGCTGCAAAGATCACAGCACACCTAGAAGCTCCGGGGGCTTCTGATGATACCAGGTAGGCTGCTGCATGAGCAAGATATTGGAGTCGTTCCGTCCCTGGAGCGATACATGGAGACAGCCTTTTTTGCAGTCCTGGGAGGATGTGGTATCAGTATTGTGCCAGGTGTATCTAACCCCTGAGAATCATAGACTTTAAGGTCAGAAGGGACCATTATGATCATCTAGTCTGACCTCCTGCACAACGCAGGCCACAGAATCTCACCTACCCACTCCTGTATCAAACCTGAGCCATTGAAGTCCTCAAATCATGGTTTAGACTTCAAGATGCAGAGAATCTTCCAGTAAGTGACTCGTGCCTCACGCTGCAGAGGAGCTTCATCATATACAGCCAGACTAGCCCTTCAGCATTGGGAGCCGTGATGAGCAGAGCTGTAGGTCCCGTGTGTGTTGATCTTATCCGAATACCGGGGGACAGGGAGAGCAAAGGTCCCGTAACTAAAGGCTGCATTCCCCGAAGCTTTCCAAGGAGATGCCGCATTGCAAAGCCTCGCACAGGCCAGCCAGGCAGATTCACCCCAGTCAGAACGACCGAACAGTCATGGCAAAGTAGAGGACTGGGCTTGCGTTAAGGATGGCCACAGGGTGGGGTAACGGGGCCCCAAAGTTCCAGTGAACCTAGGTCCAGCATGCTGCCCTGCCGGCCAGCCCTGTGTGACAGCCGCAGTTACACGGTGTTAAGGAGACGGCGGAAGCAGAGCTTGCACTCAGTCCATCCTGGTCTGTGCAGACGCAGCCAAGCTAGCAAAAGCCCAGACGTGTCAGCAGCCCACTCACCCACTTCCCTCTCCTTGAGGTAAAGACAAGAGCAGCAGCCTCTGGAACCTGCATGGATTTAAATTAGCCTTGGAATAAGCACACTGAGGCCCAATCCTGCTCCCCTTGGAGTCAGTGGTAAAACTCCTGCTGACAACAGGAGCGGGCCTGGGGCCTGGTCCATGTCTCTATCTGAGGGGTTCCAGCTGCGCAGGCACTAGTCTAAGGGAGGGATCCAGTTGTAGAAATCCTGCTATTTCAAGCCAGGCACCCTGGAGAACTCACCACTGCACCCTATTCCAGCTCGGCGATTTCTGCATGGCTGGGGGGAGGGGGGCCTTGCAATGCGCTAGCTAAGAAAACGAACTCCTGCCCGAGAAAACCAGCTCTGGGAAATGCACACCATCCCGCTCCACACTGGGACAGGGAGAGCGTCACGGCCACATCTGCTGCAAAGCGCACGCTGCTCAGGGTGGGCTCCGTGGCCTGGTTCCTCATTGCGGCGGGCACCTCCCCAGTGAAATCCATGGAGCCCCAGGCCAGGTCCTGGTTACTTAGCTCTTCCCATGCAAAGCCTGGGCAGCAGCAGCCCATCTTGAGGCAGGGGCACAGATGAGGAGCCTGCAGCTGCATCAGGTGAGGAGGCCGGAGAGGCAGGTCCAGCTGCTAGCAGAGCTTGGAGGTGTCAGCCAAGCCAGCCCTAGGGCAAGTCCCAGCCCTCCCCAGCCTCCACACACTGATAAGGGTCAGCAGCCTCTGCGGGAGCTCCTGTCACTCAGGGCCCTGGAAGTCCTGGGAGATCTCTCTGAGGATCAGCTGGGCTTTCCCAGGGAGCTGGCTTTGCCTTTCTCCCCTCAGCACGTCAGCTTGGTGCAGAGCACCGATGTGCAGCCATCCCGTTCCGCCGGCGTGTGACCCCAGAGGGGGGCAGGGGATGGAGTGTAGCAGCCCTGAGGCCCAGCCGTGCTCCAGCCATCAGGACCACAGCGTGGCCTAAGCAGGACCCGCCAACAGCTGGCTGCCAATCGCTGGAGGTGACTTTTAATACATCTTGGAACATAAGGCAAGTCCCAGAGGACAGGCAAAGCTAACGTGCCAATATTTAACAGGGTGAGGGGGCTGGCCTGGGTAACCCCAGGCCACATTGATAACGAATTCAGAGATGACAGCACAGTTCTGCCCTTGAAAATCTAGGAATCCGCATGCCCTGCTGGGAAGCGGCTCTTAATCCATGCTACAGGGAGGGCCACGTGGCTCCTCTTCCCAAAGGGCAGTCTGGGAACCAGGGCCTGATCCTGGCCACAGCTGTGGGCACATCAGGGAGGGTCTCACGATGTAGACCCGGGAAAGCCACAGGGAAGCCCATGCTCCCAAGGGGCAGTTCAGCCCTTCCCCGCCCAGTGAACGCTGAACCGGGGGCACCTGGCCTGGCATTTCCTAGAAATCCTGGAGCAGCTTCAGAGCAGCGTCCCTGCGTGTGGGTGGTGGGTATAACAGGCCAGGGGAGGCTAAGGCTCCACTGGTGTATGCCTGGCCTGCGCTCCGCCTCTTCCCATCCCTGCTCCACCCTTTCCCCGAGGCCCCCACCGCCGGCTATCCCTCCTCTCCTCCACTCCACCCCCCACGCCGGAGGTCCCCGCCACTCACCGTGTCCCTCCTCCCCGTCCCCGCGAGACCCCCCTACCCACCACGTCCCTCCTCACCCCCTCGACCCTGCAAGACCCCCCACCCACCCACTGCATCCCTCCTCATAGGGCTACCATATGTCCGGATTTCCCCGGACATGTCCGGCTTTTCGGTCTATAAATAGCTGTCCGGGGGGGATTTTTAAAAATCTAAAAATGTCCGGGATTTCCCCCCGATCGGCTATTTATAGACAGAAAAGCGGCGGCCAAGCGCTGCTGGGCACCCAAAGCCCCTTCCCGGCTCCCCCCATCCCCAGGTAAGCTGGGGCGGGGGGGCGTGAGGAGGAGAGCTCCAGGGAGGCGCGGCCTTGGCCGAGCGGCTCCCTCCAGCTCGGGCCCCAGCGGCTCCGGCCCCAGGGCGGCGACCCTGGTTCCGGCCGAGCACCTCTGACCCGGCCCCAAGCCCCGCAACCCCGGCCGGAGTGCAGCCCGATTCCTGGGCTCTTTAAGCCGGTCCTGGTCAGGGGACAGGGAGTGGGGGTTGGATGGGTCAGGAGTTTGGGGGGGGCTGTCAGGGGGGCAGGGGTGTGAAGAGGGGTTGGGACAGTCAGGGACAGGGAGCAGGGGGGGTTAGATGGGTCTGGGGCTCTGGGGGGCTGTCGGGGGCAGGGGTGTGGAGAGGGGTTGGGACAGTCAGGGACAGGGAGCAGGGGGGGTTAGATGGGTCTGGGGTTCTGGGGGGGCTGTCAGGGGGGCAGGGGTGTGGAGAGGGGTCGAGGCAGGCAGGTAGCAGAGGGGGTTGATGGGTCAGGAGTTCTGGGGGTCCTGTCAGGGGGCGGGGAGCAGTTGGATAGGGCATGGGAGTCCCCGGGGGTCTGTCTGGGGGTGGG